TTCCTCCCTCAGAGACCATTGGTGAGCTCTCGTCGCTCCTCGCGGAAGCGATTTAACCAGCCAGTCTTCGACCGCCTTAGCGGAACCAGAACGAGCAGCACACCAGGCCTGACCGAGCGCAGCCGAGCACTCGAAGACCAGAAAATCGCAAATATCGGGGCTGAGCGCCGCAGTGCCAGACGCCATCTGGGACATCTGAGCCCGCCGCGCCCGGGGTTTCTGCGAGGCAGAGAGGCGTGGCGAACGCTTCTCCACGCACTGCCCCAAGAAGGAAATCGCCGAGCAAGGTCGCGAACCATCGTGCCATGGTTGCGCGTGAGAGCGACGCGAAGTTCGCGCGGCTTCTGAAAGAGATGAGACCAAAAACGAAACGCAGGGTCGGAATGCGCATTGCACCCATTATTTCCACCCAGCGTAGTGACCCTCGTGCTCGCGAAATCCCCATCGCCCCGTATACTGCACCGCATCACGTTCATGTTCCACGCCGCTTCCCAAAGCAAGGCTCTCCGACGCACGAGACCGCAGCAAGTGAGCGTCAGTTGAAGCCTCCGAGAGATGATGCTCAACATGGGAAATCAACTCCACCTCGGGATTCCTGGCCGGCGGGGCCCAATCCCGAGGCACCATTTCAACGCGCCTAATCCACGGCGGCTCAGGTCCCAAGGCATCGGGAAAAAGCCAGAGGTTTTCGTCGCTGGGTCATCTGTTGGAACAGAGCCTCACGCGGTAAATGCACTTCCAGCCACGCGTGGGTCTTGAAAAAGTGAATCAGAGCACCGCGAGACGCGCAGGAACGGCGCGAGGATCTCCGATGCGACTACATAGTCAATGAGCGCGCCCTGGCCTTGCGAACAGGCGAAAGAAACGCCTCCAGGAGGAATGGTACAAGCATGCGTCATCTTCAAGAACCCGCAGAGCTGCATCAGCTCAATGTCATAGTTGAAATCCCCCAGCAAAGCCAGGGGATCGCCAGCGTCTGCACAAACGCACTAATCTCCAACATCTTACGTATATTCTCACCAGCGACCCCCAGTCCCGCGACCATGAGCACGACGCCGACCCCGACGACAGACTGCTGAGTACGAAGCTCCAGGAACATCCACCCATGTCCAGCACCCACCTCTTCCACAGTCCCATCGTGAGAAAGAAATCGGTTAACATACAAACCTTTGTGAACAAGCCCCCGCCCCCCAATGCGAGCCCCCTTTCCAGGGCCCCCCTGCGCAGGGACAAAATGCGGTCGCCACTTCATTGTGGCGCATTCCCATTTCGCAGCTTTCAACCTAGGGGGCAGCAGGCGGTGCTCAGCAAAGAAGAAGGCGCCAGCCTTGCTATGGGGGTCAGTGATGAAGCTGCGCGCAAGCGTACTCCACTGCGTAATGTTGTAACAACAAAGAAAGTGGTGCCCTCATTCACATCAGAACTGCAATGCACGGGGACGTCAGGAACTCCGTGTCGGCAACTTGGCGACCGTGTCGCAACGGGCTTAGCGAAAGCTGCCGACGCAGCGCCGGCGGCTGTCTTGACGCGCTTGGACTGGCGAGCCTTGGACGTCTTGGACATGAGGGCCTCCGTCCTGGCCAGGTCGTCAGGGCCCAAGGCGGCTTCGCAAGCTCGCTTGCGAAGCTGTCGTGATTCATCTGCTTCAGGCTGGCCGAGGTCACCAGCATCGCTGCCAGCTTCCATCTCGACGTCCTGGGCAAGCTTCTTGGGCATCTTCTGGAACTGCAGCAGGAGCTCCAGACGGAGGCCCTTCTCCACGGCATAGGCGCGGATGCCGGCCTCGTCCATGTCGCCCAGGTTGGGGATGCTCTCAGGATCCACACGAGCGCCACCAGGAGAAGGCTCTTCGCAAACATCAAGACGCCCGCAACCCCCTCCGTGTGCCCCTGCTCCCTGTGGAGGCCCTCGACCAGCTTCAGCTTCTTCGCGAGCACGACGTTGATCCTTGCGCTTCTCCTCCATCCAAACCTCCTCGTTGAAGTTCTGGAGCGCCTCATCAGCGTCGCGCTTGTCCTGTGCAGCCTTCTCATGAAGCCATGTCCGTGGCCAGGGACGCCCTCGTCTCGACCCGACCAACTGCTCCTCGAACTTCTGCACCTTCGTCTTGCGATGATGTACATCTTGAGAGGCCAAGCGCACCGCCTTCGCCGCATCCTCGACAACGCGGGTGAGGCGGGTGCGCTAGGCACTGGCAGCGTCCTGCAGACGTGCCGCAAAACATTCAGGCAGTACTGGGGCCTCAGCTTGGACAAATTGAGCGAGTCCATCTCGAAGTTCGGGCTTCGCAGCGAGCGACAGGGCGGCGGCGGCACGCAGATCGGCACTGTCATCATTGGCGCATGATGGGTGCTGCACCAGCACCGCGGCTTCCGTGCCCACGCCCTGCAGCACCTGGGCCGCGGGTCCCGCACGCCGTGAGATACTCCCCCCCCAGCACTTCGAGCAGGAGAAATTGCCGAAGGACTTGTACTCCCAGCGGCCGCAATCCCCGCAGACATCATACGGTTTGCCCAAGCCCTGGGAGTTCTTGCGACGCCCGTCACCACGCCATGGGGCGCGCTGGCGCCACGGCATCGCGGCGACGGGAACGCACACAACTGGAAGAACGAGAAACGCAGACACACCTCTTGCAGGAGTGTCGTGGTTGCAAAATGCCCGTGGCCGCACTCAGCGACTCGAGCCTGTCGCACAGCTGCGGAAAAGCTCGAAACCTCGCGGAAAGGCTTCGAACTTGAACCAAAATGGCTACGGGAGGAGGAGGAGAAGGAGGAGGAGGAGGAGGAGGAGGAGGGAGGAGGAGAGGAGAGGAGGAGGAGGAGGAGGAGGAGGAGGAGGAGGAGGCGGGGGAGGAGGAGGAGGAGGAGGAGGAGGAGGAGGAGGAGGAGGAGGAGAAGGAGGAGGAGGAGCAGGAGGAAGAGGGGGAATGGGTCTGGACCTCTGGGGGTCGCGTCGTGCAAAAATCATGGCGTCGGGGGTCCGGGTGGGGAGGATGCCCGGCCAGCGCGCGATGGGGCGCCCACGGGAAAGGAGCCCGCGGGCGGCGACCCCCTGTAGAGGGGCAGGCCCGACTTAACAATAGGCGGCAACGGGCGGCGACAGGGCAAAGGCCCCGCGTGCTGCGCGCAATGCTGGAATAGCTGCAGCAGGTGCGGCGAAGCTCCGAGACACTTTGGCGGGATGGGCCGCAGGCCACTGGAATAGCTGCAGCAGGTGCGGCGAAACTGCGAGGCACGGTGGCGGGACGGGCCGAAGGCCACTGGACAGCTGCAGCAGGTGCGACGATAGTGCGCGCCACTTGAATCTACGCCCGGGCACTTCAAATGGAGGGGAAGAAAAAACGATCCCCCTCCCTGGCGCGCGGAGCGCGCCAGGGGCGGCGCCAGAGGCGGCGCCAAGGAGGCCCGGCGCAGATCCAAGAAATCCGCGAGAACCGTCAAAAATCTATGCTTTTGCCGCTTTTCGCACCTCGATCAAATTGCCATTGCACGCCCCCCCCCCGCCCCCAACTGTGACACGTTCTTGCGAGGCTCGCTGGTCTTCTGATACGTTCCTTCCGTTTTCTCGCCACAGCGAGACGCGGCGCCACGGACGCCTATATTTAAGTCGGGCCTGTCCCTCTACAGGAGGAGAACTCAAACATAGTCGAAACACAGCCAGGGGACGACTGTGTCCAGCATTTTCTGAGCGCTGTTGAAGATTTCTGGAGGCTTGTAACATCTGCATTCTTCCTCCAAAATCCGACTGCTGGGGGACACGCCCGACCCAAGCCTACACCCTGCGAAATGCTTTGGAAATCATGGGTTGAGAAACTCATAGCCTCAGAATCTGAATGAATATCCAGAGTGTCTGTTCCAATCTTGGGATTTACATTGAAAACTTAAGAATAATCGAGACTCTGGCCGAAACCTTGGGTTTTCTTAAGCATCGCCTGTGGTGTGCATGCAAGCGACGACCTCTCGACCCCCCAGGGGGGGGGACAGCCGGGCTGGGCCGGCCACGTGCTCAGGCCACGGCGGACCGCGGCTGGCCCATGGACAAGCGGCGCGTGCGCCACGGACCCCCGGAGAGCGCGCGCTGCCCCCGTGGGGCGCTCCCCCCGCGAGGGCTTCTTGCTGTAAGTCTTTGGAGTTCCGAAACGGTGCGGTGACAGACCGTGCGGTGACCTCGGAACCCCTAGAGACCTCACCGCACGGTCCGTCACCGCACGGTCTTGGGACACTGGAGGTCCCTGTCGCCCGAGACGTCCTCGGAGAACGACCCGAGTCCCAAAACCGTGCGGTGACCCCGAATCCCCACCGACTCACCGAACGGTGCGGTCACCACCCCGTTTGGGGACCCCCGAAAGTCGGGCCTGTCCCCCTACAGGCCGATTTTGGACGATTTTTTTTTTTTTTTTTTTTTTTTTTTTTTTTTTTTTTTTTTTTTTTTTTTTTTTTTTTTTTTAATACCCCCAACATATTGTAAAAATGCTCAAGCATGGTCAGAAAATAGTGCCCAGACTATTTCTGGACTATTTCTGAATATTCCCCCTGTGGAGGGACAGGCCCGACTTCATCCTTGCTGCGCACGCCGGCCCCATGCCACAAAGGGCCAGGCGAAAGGGGGGGACAGCAAAGGGGGGGGGGGGAGACTCAGCTCACGTAGCTGATTTTCCCGGCGCCTCCCGGCGCCGGGAGGCGCCCATGTATCGAGGAATGGGCCCGGCGGCGGGGCCGAAACCAGCTGCATGCCGCAGATCTCGCACCCCCCCTTCCCCTATCCCCCCCTTTCGTTCGGCCCGAGCCACGGCTCCTGCGGTGCATGCTGTCCCCAAGCTGGGGGACGGCGTGCACTCAGCGGGACGGCGGCGCCACATCGAGCGCCACCTGTACAACGCCGACCGTACTTGCTCCTGCGGGCTGTCCGTGCCGCAACCCCACGCCACACCAGTCAGAACGCACCCCGGGCGAGGTCCGGGGGTGGGTAGCGATACCGGTGCGCTTTGGTCTCCCCAGCGCCCCGGCCACTGCGCAGGTGGCGGCCGCACAGATGTTCCACCTGGCCGACCAGGGAGGAAGAAGTCTCACGCGCAAACGCACGGCGGGGTCCGTCCGCATCGAACCGCGAAATTGAATCTTTGGCTCGGATCGCGATCGGAGCGAGCCTCGAATCGGCCTGAATTTCCACTCCGGATCGAGGTCGGACCCAGCCGCCAGCGCCCAGGAAGCTCATTATCGGGCGGCATCGGATCGCCACTATAGATCGAAATCGGATCGGATCGAGCGAAGCGAACACGACAACGGCCAAGGCCGATGGGATCGGAGCCGGCCCTGCACAGGCCGACCACGCGGCACGCCCGCGCGGAGAAGACGGCGCCCGCGCGCCACCACGCGGCAGGGCTGCCCACGCGCGGGTGCCCCAGCGCAGCCAGCCCCCCCAGACCCCCGACGTCGTGATTAGACTCACGCCGGGCATGTCCTCCTACAGGTGGATCTTGGAAGAAAGCAGAATCACAACATACTCAACACCTGTTCCAAAACGCCGAAAGTCGCCCCCATAAATCCCACCAACCCTCTGGGCTTAGGTGGTATAACGCGTTTTTTCTTCTCTCTTCCACTGAAACCCCTCCCCCTCCCCCCTCCCCTGGGCCAGGAAGGGGGGGGTACCGAGGCGTTAGAGCGTCCAAGATGGCCCAAGATTGCTTCAAGAGGGCTTCGAAGTCGCAAGATGGCCTCCGAGATGGCCCATGCTACTTCAAGATGGGTCAAGATAGCCTCCGACATACCCCCAAGAGGCCCCAAGACAGCCCCAAGACGGATCCAAGTGCCCTTCGAGCCCTCCACGGCGCCCTCCAAGATGCCCAAACCCTTCAGCCTATGGAAAATCAATGTTTTTGGCATTCTCGCCTTTTCGCTTCCGATGGGCTTTGGAAGCCTAAAGATGGCACCATGATGGCCCAAAAGAAGCCCAAAAGGGGCCTAAGAAGGCCGAAGACGGCCCCAAGATCGCCCAAGAGGCGCCCAAGAGCGCCCCAAGACGGCCCCAAGACGCCATTTGAGAGCCTCCGAGGGGGGGATCCGAGTTAAGGCGCCCCCTCATTTTGAGCCATGGGGCCCAAGATGGCAGAGGCCTCCCAGCCTGTCCCAAAGACCCTCAACCCCGCCCGTTTGGGCCCAAGATGGCTCCAAGAGAGCCCTAGATAGCCCAAGATGGCCTTCAAAATGGCCTAAGATAGCCAACCATGGCTCAAGATAGCCTCCGACAGACCTCCAAGAGGCCTCAAGGCAGCCTCACGATGGCCCAAGATAGCCGAGCATGGCTCAAGATAGCCTCCGACAGCCTCTAGCCGAGCATGGCTCAAGATAGCCTCCAAGAGGCCTCAAGAACACTGGCAATCAATTATGGTTGGGCTGGTGGGGATACTTTTTTTTTGGTCGCGGCCGCGGGCGAAAGCGCACTCGGCGTGTTGTAAGTCTGGGGCGCGGGCCGATTAATTGACAAGCAAACCAGAGCCGACAACCTAATACTCTGGTGGGGATACGCGAAGCGTCGTCAAGAATTATGTTGTAATACCTATTCTCGGAGATTCCTCATGTAGAGGGACAAGCCCGACTTAAGATCAGACCCCCGATGATCTCGACCGCGTCCCCGGGGCATCGTGCTCACCCCAGGCAGCTTCTGCACTGCTCCGCGGGCCCCGCGAGGGCCCCGGCAGAGCGAGCACGAGCAAGCACCGCGACATCAGATTCGTGTTAGGTCGGGCACGTCCCCCTACAGACGGATTTCGGACGAAAAATTAAAGATAGTCCAAACATATTCAACAGATGATCTAAAATACTCAGAGGCGTCCACAGACTATGTTTTGACTATGTTCAGATAGGTCTCCTGTAGGGGGACTGGCCCGACTTAAGATTCGTGCTCTTCACCGCTGGTCCCCAGCCCCTCCGGGGGTGACTCCTGGCCAGGATTTGGAAGCAAATCCAACGGTGGCAGCGAGGAAGGGCAGGGGAGCCCAGGATCGACTCGACGAGTCGGATCAGCGACCGGAAGGGATCGGAGCGGCGGACATCGGCAGCCGAGGCGGGAGGAGTCGAATCGGCGGAATATCGGCAGGCTTGCAAGCCTCCGATGAGAAATCGGATTCCAGATCGTAATGCGACATCGAATCGAATCGGTGTCGAAGCCATCGAAATCACATCGAATCGAATCGAAGCGGAGGACATCGAAAGGAACCCTGAAGAGTAGTGGTATCGGTATCTCCTCCTCCTCCTCCTCTGAGATCTGGGCCGACCTACGGGTTCCCTAGGTGACCAAATGTGAGCCCTACCCTCCCCACCCCCCACGGTTTCTGAGGGTGGGGTTGGGGCTCACTTCGGTCGGGAACTCCCGAGCGAAATGAACCCCGACTTCCCCTCAGAAATCGTGGGGGGCGGGAGTAGGCTTAGGTCGGGCACGTCCCCCTACAGGCGGATTTAGGAGGAACAAAAATACTCAAACAGTACTCCCAAAATGCTCAAACATGGTCGAACAATCGTCCCCAGACTATTTCTGGTCACTTTCTGACCTTTCCTCCTGTAGGGGGACAGGCCCGACGTGAGGGTAGGGTCCTCACGTGGCCACCGATGCCCACGACCGCGCGCCTCCTCCGGGGCCAGCGCCTCCGCCTCGCTCCAGGACAGCCCGAGCGTCGTGCGCAGCGCGTGCCGCCGCGCCTCTCGGGGCCGCCCGCGGCGGCGGCGGGAACACCGAGAGTCCGCCGAGCCGAGAGCGACGCCGAAGCCGACCGACATCGACGGGCCGCCAGGCTCCAAAAAAGCCTCCCGCCCGCCCCCCAGCTACAGTCGGACTTGATGGGAGAGGACACGCGAGAGGACACAAGACCCTTCCGGGGGCCACGTTGCCACAGAAATGCAGGAGGCATGGGTCGCAAGGCACAAGACACGAGGGTACCCTTGATCTGGCAGGGTCGACCTACTAATCCGGGCCCCCAAGCTATTCCAGGAGGCCCCAGAGACCCTCAGATTCATCCAGGGGGCCCTTGATCCAAGGTGCAGCTTCCACGATCGTCTCGCACACGCACTCCTGGTGGGGGTCGGCGGAATGGCGTGAGCCGCTTGAGTCGACAGGCCGCAAGCAGCCTCAGAAGGCGCAGAAGCGCGGAGACGACACCATTCGGGGAGACGTAAGACTCGGGTACGGTGGACTCGGCTTGGCCTGACGGGGCCATCATGAAAATGATGATTCCCAATCTGAAATTTGACGCGAATTCCCGCTGCAAACATCCCACGAAAACCTGACCGTCAAAATACAGGACGCGCTCGTCAAAGAAACCTCGGCAAACCCGAGTTCCGGCATGCTCGAGTCTACGTTTCCCCGAACCATAACCGATCGAAACGCACCGACCGAACGCAACCGACGTGGACGCAGCAGAACCGACCACACCCCGAATCCCCCTGTTCTCCCTCTCGAGGTCAGACCCCCGATGCTGAGACTGGTTCGCAACGCCGACCCCCACAACTCCCGCCCCCTTCCCCAGGACCAGCTCTTCATCCCGAGTTTCGTTTTTGACGGCCCCGGGGCCCGGCGAGGGCCCCCGGACCTGGAGTCCGAACGCCGCAACAGCAACCCTCCGGCGCGATCTCCTGACGACGCGAGGGCGCCCAGGAACCCTGATAGGCCTCCAGCCGCTTGCTGCGCCGCGCCGCCACGGCGGCGCGCCGCAGCGCGGCCACCTGCGGCGGCGCCAGCAACCCGGGCAGCAGCGCGTGCCCGTCCTCTTGAGCAGGGACCGACCGTCCCGGCATTCCTACAGGCCTACCACGAAGTGTTCTTGGAGCCCCAAAATGTCCTACTAGCCAAACAATGGTCTTTAGAACATGAGCCCGATGTGCTAAACCAAGACAGACCCAGCCAGAAATGGTCTAAAACATGTCGTGCAGATCCCAAACGGTTCTCAGAACATTGTTTGGTAGGCCTATAGGCGAGCCAGGACGCTTCGCCACTGCTTGATCCTCGCGGAAGCCCAGGGCCTCCTCGCCAGACACCGGCCGCGGACGCGGCGGGGCCCCCGCGAGCGCGGCGGCTGCTGCCGCCGCGCGGCGGCAGTGGCGGCAGCGGCGGCCGCTGCCGGGGCCGCCCACGCGCCTCTACCGCCGTGGCCGCTCCCCTCATCCTGGTCGTCGTCGTCGTCGGCGGCGGCGTCGTAGTTGGCAGCGCCGCCGGCGGCGCGCGTCGTAGTCGGCGCACGTCGACGCCGTGGCCGTGGCCATAGTCGTCGTCGTAGTCGCCCAGCCGCCGCCTAGCCGCCGCCGCCACCGCCGCCTAATTACTCAGCCGCCGCCGCCGCCGCCGATGTCGTCGTCGTCGTCGTCGTCGTCGTCGTCGTCATCGTCGTCGTCGTCGTCGTCGTCGTCGTCGTCGTCGTCGTCGTGGTCGTGGTGGGCGCCTCGCTGCCGCCAGAGCCGCGGAGGCGCAGCCGGCCTCGCGGCCGAGGGGCGGCAGCGCCAGGAGGGCGACCAGAGGCAGTGGCGGCGGCGGCGGAGCGGCCGGCGTGGCGCCGCGCTGCATGGCGCCTGGAGGCCCGCAGCCGCTGCCGGCGGGCGGTGCTGCCGACTGCGGGCCGAGGACGGCCACTGTGTGCCCGCCCTGGGTGCGGGAGGGCGGGGCGGGCCACACGGGGGGGCCCCGGGGACGAGGGCCTCAAGCAGCGAGGGTTCCGCCTGTGACCTGCGACTCATCGGCGGGGCCCCATCTTTGAACCGCTGGGCAATGAGAGGCCCGCAGGCCGCCTCCGGCGGGCGGTCCCCTCTTCCTCTTACCCCTCTCTCCCTCCTCCTCTTCCCCCTCTCTCCCTCCTCCTCTCCCTCCTCCTTCCCCCTCCTCCCCCTCCTCCTCTCCTTCCTCCCTCCTCCCTCCCCCCTCCCTCCCCCTCCCCTCCCCCTCTTCTTTCGCGCTGCGAGATGGTACTGCGAGACACGGAACACCCTCCGACCACGTTACACCAGTGGGGCGGCACTCCTCCCTCCCTCTTCTTTTCCTTCGCGCGTCTGAGAGAGTACTGCAAGACAAGCAGCCCCCTCGGACCTGGCTTAAGTCGGGTATGTCCCCCTACAGGGGGATCTTGGACGAACAATAGAACATACCCAACATATACTCCCAAAATTCTTGAAAATTGTCAAAAAAATCCCCAGACTATTGTTTTACTATTTCTGAATATCCCTCCTGTAGAGGGACAGGCCCGACTTAAGACCACGCTGCAAAAGCGGGACGGCAAAATACAGAAGCACTGGAAGTTCAAATCTCGACATCGCTCAGACGCCCATGCCAAGTGCATTTGTCGATTTCGTGCGTGTCATTCTTCGTAAGATGATCCCATATGTTCCTCGATGGTCTTCGCCCCCAGAAGATGCACACGTCCCAGCGATGCCCAGAGATAGCTTTGAGTCGGGCATGTCCCTCTACAGGCGGATGTTTGCCGAACATGTTTTCTTTTAAACCGAAAATATCCAACACATGCTCGAAAATAGTCGAAAACTAGTCCCCATCTTATTGTTTGACTATTTTTGAATTTTCCTCCTATGGAGGGACAGGCCCGACTTAACGACAGCTGGATTCACATGTGGAGCATGGTGGAAACCCGCGCGCTGTGGTACGCGTGCGCAGGGCCGGCGCACCCTGCCATGCAAGGGCCGAGCACGCCAGAAAGCCATGCGGCCACACGTGCATCCAACTTGAGACGAGGGCAGGATCGAGGCAAGATCGGACTGACATAGACTGGCCATCTTTGAGAATCCGCGGGTTTGGAGGATGTATCGGGCGCCGCGGCCGTTTCCGAGCGTTCCGGAACGCTCCGAGAGCGTTCTGGAAAGCTCTGGGATGGATTTATCTCGATCCGAAGCCCGTCCGACAAATCTCGCCGCCCGGGCTGGGCGCGTCATGTGGTGGGAACTCTGCCCCCCAATAAATACCATCTCGTGGGGAAGCATATTTCTCTTTTCCGCCGGCTGCCGCCGACGGAGCCGCCCTCGCTGGGCTTCTGCCAGTTTCCGCCGAGGAAGAGCTGTCAACGTCTCCGGTCCTCGACGGCGAGGCCCTTTCTAGAGTGCCCCATGTGCCAGAGGGGAAAGAAAACGCAACCGAGCACTGGGCGGTTTCCCCCGGGGCCGTAGGCGACCCGAGGAGGAGGAGGAGGAAGAGGAGGAGGAGGAGGAGAAGGTGGAGGAGGGGGAGGGGGAGGAGGAGATGGAGGAGGAGGAGGAGGAGGAGGAGGAGGAGGAGGAGGAGGAGGGAGGAGGAGGAGGGGGAGGAGGAGGAGGAGGGGAGGGGGAGGAGGATGGAGGAGAAGGAGGAGGAGGAGGAGGAGGAGGAGGAGGAGGAGGAGGAGGAGGAGGAGGAGGAGGAGGAGGAGGAGGAGGAGGACGAGGAGCAGGAGCAGGAGCAGGAGGAGGAGGAGGAGGAGGAGGAGGAGGAGGAGGAGGAGGAGGAGGAGGAGAGGAGGAGGGAGGACGAGGAGCAGGAGCAGGAGCAGGAGGAGGAGGAGGAGGAGGAGGAGGAGGAGGAGGAGGAGGAGGAGGAGGGGTCGCCTAAGCTAAGCCCTTCGGAGAAACCCTCCACCGAGATCCCTCGGGGTGGACCCACCCCGGGGCGTTGGCACGCCAGGGCGTCGCCTGGTGCTGGATGGCGCTCGGGAGTGCCACCGCCCAGGGGTCCAAGGCGCCGATCTGAGAGATCCGCGCGGGGCTCCGAAAGTTTGTGTTCATGCTTATGTTGCTCCGATCGTACTTAAGGACCACATCCCAGAAAAAATATCGAGCACCCAGAAAAGTATTGAAACAGTGTCGAACGAGTATAGCATCCAGGGCCCGACACGTGAAAACCCTAAAGTTTTGGGTACTTTCCTGGTGCACGACATTATGTTTGATGATCAAGGCTAAAGTAGGCTGGAACATCATGAGCTGATGCCATGTACGTATCCCCCATATACTAGGTATCGGAATCCTGTTATTGCTGGAGCACCTCCGCCTCCTTACTCACTCCAGCTTGGCTTCTGTTTGTTCATACCCAAACCACTCAGGCTTAGACTCACTCAAATTCAGATTCACCACACTCAGATCACTCATCCTCACATTCACTGAAATTCAGACTCAACGACACTCACAGACACACACACACACAGCCCCATGCTCATCGCGATGCAGTTGGCGTGGCACTTGAGCACCCCAAGGAGGAGCCGCCAAGGCTGGGGTCATTCGCGACCAGATGGTGGGGATGTCTCGAGCGTCTTGCCTGTGTGATTGATCAGACGCTCTCTTCCCAAAGCCCAAATATCCATCGCGATGTAACCGGCCGGGCGTCTGAGCGCCCCAAGGCCCAAGGAAGAGCCGCCAGGGCTGGAGCCACTTGCCCGTTCGTGCCCAGCTGGTGGGGATGTCTCAGGCGGTTTGGTCAAGATCACGGCGGCTCTCCCTGCGGGCAAGACTTATATATCCATATCCAGTGCGTCTTGGACTCGCTTGGAAAAGGGGCGCCATCAGGCCGAGGAACACTGGGCATGGATAAACATCAAGCCTCTAATTATAAGGGTCAGGCTTTTACCCGCATCTGGTGTGTCTCGGATTTCTGGCGAAGCGGGCCCGAAACACGCGGCAGTGGATACGGACACACGTCTTGCCCGCACCTCCCGCCCGGCCCACATACAGGCCTCCTAGATGGGGTCGGAGGATCGCGCCGCATCGCTGATACATCGGCGATGCATCGGCGATGCACTGGCGATGCATCGTCGACGTGGGCGATGCATCTGCGACGTCGACGTGAAGCAAATCGAGCTCAACATCCAGCCACATCGGCGATGCATCGGCGATGCGGCGCGAGCCTCCGACCCTATCTACTCCGACCCCATCTGGGAGGCCTAGGCTCAGCTGGCGCATTCCCCTACAGGCGGATTTTGGACGAAATATAAAAAAAAAAAAACCAAACGGTACCCCAAAATAGCCAAAATCGTCCCCAGACGATCTGACTACTTTTGAATATTCCTCCTGTAGAGGGACGTGCCCGACTTGAGAAGCCTAGACCACATCCGCTCGAGACCTGTCCCTCGGACCCTTCCCGGGGAGGAGGATGAGGAGGAGGAGGAGGAGGAGGAGGGGGAGGAGGAGGAGGAGGAGGAGGAGGAGGAGGAGGAGGAGGAGGAGGAGGGGAGGAGGAGGGGGAGGAGGAGGAGGAGGAGGAGGAGGAGGAGGCGAGAGCCACAGCTTTGGAGAGGGCCCTGTGGCCCGTTGCTCGGGGCGGCCCTCCCGCCGCGGCGGCGAGGGGCCACCCTGGGGAGAGGCTCGCGAGCGGACGGCGCCGAGGCGGCCCTCCGGGAGGCACGCCGCCGCTGTCACGACTGGCCCTCCTCCCACTGCACGGTTTCCCCCGGGGCCGTAGGCGACCCGAGGAGGAGGAGGAGGAGGAGGAGGAGGAGGAGGAGGAGGAGGAGGAGGAGGCGGAGGAGGAGGAGGAGGGAGGAGGAGGAGGAGGAGGAGGAGGAGGGAGGACGAGGAGCAGGAGCAGGAGGAGGAGGAGGAGGAGGCGCAGGAGGAGGAGGAGGACGGGTCGCCTAAGCCCTTCGGGGATTCCCTCCACCTCCCACTCATGCCGAGGGGCCCCTCGTCGCCGTCGCCGCCGTCGCCACCCAACACCTCCGACCGCTCCCTCGTCCAGGATCGTGCTTTGGAAGGCCCTGGGGCCTGGCGAGGGGGCCCCCCCGGACGCCGAAGAGGATGAACAAAAGTGTGCCTCAGGTATTAGACTGGGTCGAGTGTGGCACACACGACTGGCCTGGAATCTCCCAACAAAGTCTCCGACGCCTTGTGCTTGTTACATCCGGGGTCGGCCCGGAGCTCTGGACCACTCCCCGGGGACCGCCTCGTCGTCCAGGACTGCGTCTTGTGGGGCCTGGCGAGGGCCCCCGGACGCCGAAAACGGCGAAAGGCCTGTAACCTGCGTCTTGATTGTTGTCAGTGCGTTGGAGGTCTGGGTTTAGGTCGGGCGTGTCCCCCTACAGCCGGATCTGAGGCGAAAAAGAGTAAAATGGTCAACAATCGCCAAGTAGCCAAGAAATAGTCGAAACATCGTCCCCAAACTATTTCCGAACTACTTTTAAATACTCCCTCTGTAGAGGGACGTGCCCGACGTACGTCTGGGTGTTCGGGTCGTGGCTCGGCTATCTGGCGGCCGTTCGGGACGATGCGGGCATCCCCGAAAACGCCCTCGGCGGCGAGGCGCCGCTGCCGGAGAACAGCCCGAGGCGAGGCTGGAGAGCCACCGAGCACCGCCGTGAACAGAGCAGTTCGAGACTCTGGAACAGAACCGCGGTCGTCGTCGTGGTCGGTGCGGGCTGGCCGCCCCGCTCGCGGGTCCCGTCGGTCGAGCGCTGCGCGTCCACGGCGGCCCCCGCCTGGACCAGGGCCTCGCCGATGGCCTCGGGGGGGCCAGGATGGGGCGAGGCCAGGCGAAGGGGGAGAGGTCGAGGACCCTTGACGTCCACCTGCCGAGCCTTCCTGGGGTCATTCCGGAGAGGAGGATCGGGGCACTGCGACTTCGAGAACAGGAGGGGGAGAGGTGAGGAGGAGGAGGAGGAGGAGGAGGAGGAGGGGGAGGAGGAGGAGGAGGAGGGGGAGGAGGAGGAGGAAGGACGGAAAAGGAGGGGAGGACCCTGGAGACGAGGAGGAAGAGGAGCAGGGTCAGCAGGGAGAGACTGATGAGGAAACGGATGAGGAGGGGAAGGATGATGAGAACGATGCCCTCGAATCCTGCGTTTGGGGCAGCACCCAATAGAGCAGCACGAAGCGCAGCCCGCGCAGGCGCGAGCACATCGTCGGGCGGCACGAAGCGCGAGCAGCAACGACACAGTGCTCGAACCGATCGGCATCCGGCGGCTGCTGCGCCACCGTGCCAGAGCCGAGACACAATATAAGCCTCCTTCGAAGCAGCGGTCGCCGGACAGCAACCTGCACGAGGCCAGCGAGGCGGCCCGCGGTCGCAGGTCACGCAGAGGCTGAAACCATCGGGCTCGTCGCAGGCGAGGCATCGAGGATCCCACGGCACGTGAGCCAGCCGCTGGATGACGCTCGGATGACCTGAAGGCCCAGGGCAGCGACGCCGTCGAGACCAAGGCCCCGAGCTGGCCTCACGGGGTGCCGCGACTCCGCTCGGACAGCTCTGGCCACCGCTTCGGGGGCCGCTCGAGCGTCTTCGACGGGACAGGGCCTTCAAACCAGGCCGACCACACGGCCGCGTGAACGCGCCGCTGCACTAAATATGGGCCTCCTCCACCAGCTCCTCCGACGAGACACGGCGCCCCATCTTCAGGAGAGACTGCGGTCGGCCGTGAACTCCGCGCACGAACGCAGCATCCACCAGCTGGGAGCCAGCGCCTGCGAGGAGGCCGTCGGCGGCGGCGCGCAGTATCAGGTCGGCCGTGTCCCCCTAGAGGTGGACTTTGAACGAAACGTAAAAACACCCAAAACATACCCCCACAAAATTAGGACATAGTCCGAAAATGATCCCCAGGCTCTTGTATTTTTGTATGTTTGAATATTCTTTCCTGTAGTGGGACAGGCCCGACTTAAGCGTCGTCAGAGGCCGCGTCCACCTGGCGCCGATGCCGAGACGGAAGGGCTCGAAACGTCGAGCACGCGTGGCGCCGGCGGTCCGGACGGCGGTCCGGATGAGGGCCGACGTCGAGAGCTGCACCGACCTCACTCGAGGCCCTCGCCACCCCTTCATCTGGACCCAGTCTATCGCCGCGAGGTAGAAGGACAGGGAGGGGGAGAGAGCGAGAGATGCAAAAAGGGCGAGAGGGAGAGAGAGAGAGAGTGAGATGAGAGAGAGAGAGAGAGAGAACACATGATACCGGAGAAAACACCCAATCAGTTTTTTAAATCTTCCAATTGCTCCCTGATAGAGCTATAGGGCTATCGGGCTATAGGGCTATCGGGCTATAGGGCTATCGGGCTATAGGGCTATAAGATTGTGACCTATAGGGCCATAGGGCTATGGGGCTATAGAGCTACATGGGCTATGGGGCTATAAGGCTACGTATAGGGATATAAGGCTATTAGGGCTATAGGGATATAAGGCTATAGGGCTACAGGGCTATAGGGCTCTACGGCTATAGGGCTATAGTGCTTCTGGGCTATTGGGCACCCCCGGGCACCGCTATTGGGCACCCCCGGATTGGGCACCCCCGGGCACCCGGGCACCCCCGGGCACCCAGGCACCCGGGCACCCGGGCCCGGCCACCGAAATCGGCCACGCACCTCACCGGCCACCCGGGCACCCGGGCACCGCCGGGCACCCGGGCACCCGGGCCCGGCCACCGAAATCGGCGACGCACCTCACCTAACCCTTTAATCCGCTAGGACTCCTACAGAGGCAAGCTCTGGTTGGGGAACAACACACAAACACACACACACACGCACACACACACACACACGCACACACACAACACTGGCTATGCATCCTGAGCAGTTGTTTGACGGTCCGAGGGTCTGGTGGGGCCCCCCGAGAAGGAGCAGACACCTTCCGTCGTGTTTCTGTTTCGCAGCGAGCGGTTGCCAGGGAACGCCCAAAAACCTAGATCGTCGTCGTCTTGAGAAGGAACCGACCGTCCCGATAATCTTACCACGAAATTTTGTTAGACCAGAGGAGTGAACGACAAAACAATGCACGTACAACATCAAGCCGATGTGATAAAACAAGGCGGTCTCAGCCAGAAATGTTTTGAGGACATCTCATGCAAACCACAGAAAGGTTCCTAGAACAGTCTCTGGTGGGCCCAGGTCAGGACGCTTCGCCACTGCTTGATCTAGAAAAACAAACAATGAAACATACAACTTCTAAGGTCTGCGCGGAGTCCTCGAATCTGCGCTGGGATCCCCTGGCGACGCGTCCGACGCCGCCCCTGGCGCGCTCCGCGCGCCAGGAAGGGAGGTACAGCGCCGATCCGAGAAACATGCGCACACCTCCGCGTTGTTATGCTTATGTCATTGCTTATTCCCCACGATTGCGTTCGCCTCGAGACTCTGGTCAGCACGCACCCCCAGAGAGGTCCAGGGAGCAGCGGCATCTGTACCCTTTTGCCCCCCAGGCTCGAGGCAAGCTTTTTCCAAACCGAAAAGGTTTTCCCAAACCAGATGTTGCGGAACCAGACCGCCAGTTCTTACCAAACGAAGACCCGGATTGTCCCAAACCAAACGGGTCTTCCCAAACCAACCGGCTGAGTCTTCCCAAACCAACCGTGTCTTTTTAAAACAATTGGCCGATTCTTCCCAAACCATTGGGTCTTCCCAAACCGACCCGCGGGTCTTCCCGAACCAAACGGGTCTTCCCAAACCAACCCCGCGGGTCTTCTCAAACCAACCGGGCTTCTTAAACCAGCCCCCCGGGTCTTCTCAAACCAACAGGGTGTCCCTAAACCACTCACCTGTGTCTTCTCGCGTAATATCGCATTAGTTTCGCTTTCGTTTTTGTTATCATTTTCGCTCTCGTGCTCGCCTTTGTTCTCGCCTTCGTTTCGCTTTCGTTTCCCCTCCGTTTCCCCTTACGTTCTCGCCTTCGTTTCGCCTTAATTTCGCTCTCGTTTCCGCGCTCGTTCTTGCTTTTGTTCTCGCCTTCGTTTCGCATTCGCTCCGCTCATTGTTCGTCTTCGTTCCCGTATTCGCTTTCGCCTTCCTTTCGTTTTCGTTTCGCCCTCGTTTCCGCTCTCGTTCCCTCCTTCGTTCTCGCCTTCGTTTCTCTTTCGTTTCCGCTTTGTTCTCGCCTTCGTTTCGCCGTCGTTTCCGCTCTCGCTCTCGCCTTCGCTTTCGCCTTCTTTGCTTTTGCCTTCGCTTTTGCTTTCGGTTCCGTCCTCGTTCTCGCCTTCGTTTCGATTTTGTTTCGCCCTAATTTCCGTTCTCTTTATCGCCTTTGTTTTCGTGTTCGTCGCGGCTTCTTTTCGCCCTCGCTTCCGAACTCGTTCCCGCCTTCGTCGTCGTCGTCTCCATTGTCGCCGTCATCGTCGTCGTCGCCGTCGTCGCCGTCGTTGACGTCGTCGCGGTCGTCGTCGTCGTCGTCGTCGTCGTCGTCGACGTCGTCGTCGTCCCCGCCGTCGTCGCCGTCGCCGTCGTCGTTCACGTCGACGTCAACGTTGTCGTCGTCGTCGTCGTCGTCGTCGTCGTCGTCGTCGTCGTCGTGGTCGACGTCGTCGTCGTCGTTGCCGCCGCCGTCGCCGTCGTCGTCATCATCGTCGTCGTCGCCGTCGTCGTGGTCGTCGTGGTCAGCGTCGTCGTCGTCGTCCTCGACGTCGTTGGCGTCGCCGTCGTCGTCGTCGCCACGGCTGGATGCCTTTTTCGAATTGAGGGTGAAGGCGCATCTCAGGAACCCAGACATCCAATGCTGTTTTCTTCGGCGACGCGGGCACCCAGGGGTCCGGACCCCTGCGCTAGGGCCGGTTTTCCGTCTCGAGTCGTTTTTTTCCACGGCCTCAGGGCTTGTTAAGAGCGCGCAGCAGCCGGGCGGCGCACGCGCGCCAACTCCACGATGCATCACACTTTAGTGTTCCGCCAGTCAGGAGGGAAAGAAACACACAGACACAATTAATCGTCGATCCCCAAGAAAATATGGGAAAATATGGGAATTGGGCGGGAAGACAAAATCTAAAAAATATATAGGAAAATATGGGGAATCATTTTATTTGTGTGTATTTATTTGTGTGTCTCAGGGCCCCTTCAGCCAGCTCGATCTGATCCGCCCGTCAGGGTCCGCTCTCCCGACCCGACCCGCCGGCCCAATCAGCCCGTCTGTTTGGGCACACGTACGCTAATTTGCTGACGCGTACCACCCCAATGTGCCGCCCGCTCGACCCGACCCGCTCGTTAGGGCCCCCAGGTCTCGCAAGGCAGGCCGCTCGTCTGTGTGCATGTGTGTCTACACAGCCAACCGGCCACAGGACAGGAGAAAACAGCTCCTCCTGTTGCTGTCCCTGCATGTTGTTGTTTTCCCGTTCCATCTCTGTACTCTGCGCCATCATCTCGCTAAGATGCATATTTATCATCTCCTTTTCTCGTTCATCCGCTGTTTCTGTCTCTGGCAATCCTCTTCAGCGAAGCACGAAGCGCGCCGATCCGTGCGCACGGGAGCGCGACGACGGGGGCAGGATTCCAGTTTCGGCGAGCACAGACGACTTCACGAGGTCATGGTTGGGCACGCTGTTCCGGGGGGCAGGTGCGAGACTTTTGGTATTCAGCTCGCTTCTGCAGGTTCTTCTGGAAGCGGCTTGGCGAGGGAAGGGGGGGAAGACGACGTCTTCCACCAGGCACAAGGGCCTTGTGACTAGGCCGGGAGCAGGAGGAGGAGGAGGAGGAGGGGGGGAGGGGGACGAGGAGTAGGTACACCAGGACGAACGCTGTCAGGAGGACCGCCACGACGAGAAATTCGTTCTGTTCTCGCTTCGTCTCGTTTGTGTTTCGCTGTCGTTTCCGGCCTCGCTCTCGCCTTCGTTCTCGCCTTCGTGCCGCTTTCCTTTCGCCTTCGTTTCCGCTTTCGTTTTCGCTTTCGGTCTCGCCTTCGTTTCGTTTCGTTCGCCCTCGTTTCCGCTCTTGTTCTCGCCTGCGTTCTCGCCTTCGTTTCGACCTCGTTCCTATCTCGCTCTGCCTTTGCGTTCGCCTTCGTTTCGGTGTCGGTTCGCCCTCATTTCCGATGTCGTGTTTGCTTTCGCACTCGTCTTCATTTCGTCTTCGTTTCTCTTTTGTTTCCGCCCTCGTTCTCGCCTGCCTTCGTTCTCGCCATCGTTTCGCCTTCGTATGTCTTTGTGTCCGCCCTCGTTTCACGCTTTCGTCTCGCCTTCGTTTCGCTTTCGTTTCGCGCCGTTTCCGCTCTCGTTTTCGCCATCGCTCTCGCTTTCGTTCCGCCCTCGTTTCGTGCTCGTGTCCGTCTCGTTTTCGTCTTCATGTCGCCTTCATTTGGTCCTCGTTTCCGTTTTCGTTCCGCCTTCGTTCCGCCTAGTTTCGCCCGAACCAACCAAGTGTGCCTTGGCAAACCGAAACCCCAAATCTTGGCAAACGAACCGCGTTTTCCCAAACCATGCGGGTCTTCCCAAACCAAGCCCCAAAAATTTCACAAACCAAACGGGTCTTCCCAAACCTCAACCCCGGGTCTTCCCAAGCCAACCGGGTCTTCCCAATCCACAACCCCCTTCCCAAATCAACCGGGTCTTCCCAAACCAAACGGGTTTTCCCAAACCACAATCCCTGGTCTTCCAAAACCAACCGGGTCTGCCCAAACCAACCGGGACTTTCCAAACCAAACGGGTATTCCCAAACCACAACTCCAAACCTTCCCAAACCAACTGGGTCTTCGTCTCAAACCAACCGGGTCTTCCCAAACCAACCGTGTCTTCCCAAACCAACCGACTGGATCTTCCCAAACCAACCGTGCCATCCCAAATTAACGGGTCGTCCCGAACCAACCGGGTCTTCCCAAACCAACCGGGTCTTCCCAAACCATCTGCAACCGGGTCTTCCCAAACCGAAGCCCCAGGTCTTCCCAAACCAACCGGGTTTTCCCAAACCGACCAGATCTTCCAAAACCAAAGCGGGTCTTCCCAAACCAAAGCCCGGGTCACCCTGACCAAAATTTGGTTTGGGAAGACCCGTTTGGTTTGGGAAAGACGCCCCTCCCCCCCGGCCTGCAGGGAAGGGGCCGCAAAAGGGCCCGGACGGCCCCACCCTGGGGCCCCGAAGCTTCACGAGAGGCGCACCTTCCTCCTCCCCCCATCCCTCCTCCCTCCTCCCTCCTCCCTCCTCCCTCCCTCCTCCTCCTCCTCCTCCTCCTCCTCCTCCTCCTCCTCCTCCTCCTCCTCCTTCCCGCCTGCTCGATCGTCCTCCTCGTCCCCAGCCGCCTTCTGGGTGTTACGATCCGCTGTGTGCGAAGGACCCCCCCCCCGGGGGGCATATGCCGGGGCGCGTCCTGGCCGAAGCACCGCACAAACAAACAAGCACCCCGCCGTGGCCACGAGGGGACCCGGAGCCAGTCAAAAGCCAACGAGCACGCCCCTCGTTGGCTCAAAGATGGGGTCCCGCGGGATGGGGTCCTAACCGTAGGGAGGGATCCAAGCGTGGATCTACATTGCCTGAGGCACCTCGTTCTTTCCTTGGGACCCCATCCCTCAGGACCCCATCTCTGAACCACCGAGCCCAGGAACTCCCACCTACCCTTAGCTCGGGCGTGTCCCCCTACAGGAGGATTTTGGACGAAAAATGGAACGCACCCAAAACATATTCCAATAGGCCCGAAAGGTAGTAAAAATCGTCTCCCGACTATGCTTTTACTATTTTTGAATACTCCTCCTGTAGAGGGACAGGCCAGACTGAAACCTACCCTCCAGCGTCAACCCTCCAAGGAGCGTCGTCGTCGTCCTCTTTCTCCTCGCCCGCCCGCAGCCTTCAGGGTGTTGCGGCCCACGGTGGCGCGCGCCCAGAAGTGCATCACGGAGTTCCCTTTGGAGTCGCTGCTGCGCACGTCGGCGCGCGCGTTCAGCAGCAGCACGACGACGTCCGGGCTGTGGGCCTCGGGGGAGGCGCGCGGAAGCGACTCCTGGGAGGTCCCCGCGAGAGCGACGAAGTGCCATGAGGCCCGATGAGGGAGTCGTGTTGCCAGATGTGCACCAGACTGAGCCCAGGGTGAGGCCTGTTCCTGTGACGCCTGGCTGGGCCGGCCAGGATGATGCCCGGGGCGGCAGCTTCTTCGACCGCGGACCGAAGCGCAACGATATGCTGCATCCGAGCTCCCAGCAGCTGCGTCCTGAAGGGGCGGAGGAGGTTCGAGGTTTTGCAGGCGAGACGCGGCTCGACCCAGATCTGGAGCGATATGACCTGTCCAATCCGTGCGTCTTTCCTCGACGTCGGCCCTCGGGCGCTGTGCTCGGGCTCCCCGGAGCCATCGGGAAAGGCTCCGGGACGAGCAGACACCCCCGGGGAAGCGGTCGGGACCTCTGGGGCCGCGGGCTGCAACAAAACACACCCGCGGATGTCTGACTACCTACCAGACCACCCCAACCCAACCCGAAGACCCGCATTTGACCCGAAGTTCGGGTTGGGGGGGGGGTACGGATACCATGTGTTTTTTCAACGCTCCCCGACCCCCCCCCCTCCACTGGAAATCGAGGATCAATCTGGGCCTTCGGGTTGGGTTGGGGAGGTTTGGTGGGTGGTGGATGTCAGGGCAGGTGAGCACGTGCACGCCGGAGCGCCGCCGCCGCCGCCGCTCCGCGGCCGGCCCCTGCTGCCGCCTCGCCCGCCCCCCCCCCTTTGGGCGCCCGAGTTATCCGGGGTAACTCGGGTCCGGGGTAACTCGGGCTTGGATTCCCGAAAAAGGAACCCGAGTTATCCCTGACCCGAGTTACCCCTGATGATTCTGGGGCTCTGGACGCCCGAGTTATCCGGGGTAACTCGGGTCCGGGGTAACTCGGGCTTGGATTCCCGAAAAAGGAACCCGAGTTATCCCTGACCCGAGTTACCCCTGATGATTCTGGGGCTCTGGACGCCCGAGTTATCCGGGGTAACTCGGGTCCGGGGTAACTCGGGTTTGGATTCCCGAAAAAGGAACCCGAGTTATCCCTGACCCGAGTTACCCCTGATGATTCTGGGGCTCTGGACGCCCGAGTTGTCCGGGGTAACTCGGGTCCGGGGTAACTCGGGCTTGGATTCCCGAAAAAGGAACCCGAGTGATCCCTGACCCGAGTTGCCCCTGATGATTCTGGGGCTCTGGACGCCCGAGTTATCCGGGGTAACTCGGGTCCGGGGTAACTCGGGCTTGGATTCCCGAAAAAGGAACCCGAGTTATCCCTGACCCGAGTTACCCCTGATGATTCGGGGCTCTGACCCCTGTCCCCCTCTTTGCGTTGCACTGCCGCGAACACACCGCGGGCTCGACACGTTGCATTCCAGGGCGGTGCACGGCAGCAAGTGCGAGCCTCATGCTGCTCCCCTCGTGCTTGAGGACCACATCCCCCAAGACAATGTCGAGCACCCGGAAAAGTGCCGGAGCGGTATCGAAACAGTGTCGAAACAGGGGCTCCCAGGGAGCCGACACGTGGAAACCCTCGAGTGTCGGCACGTTCCTGGTGCTCGGAATTCTTTCTCGTGGTTCAGGCTAAAGTAGGTTGGAACATTACAATGCGAGGCTCGAGGACGGATGGGCGCACGACCGCAGGAAGCCTACACTTTCTCGGAGGCTGGCGCGGATTTCTCTTGGGCCGCCGCAGCGGACGCGCCCCTCCGGGGGGGAGCCAGCGTCGAGCAGAGAAATCCGCGCAGATCTCCGAAGCATTGCACTGATAGCCTCCACCTCCTCCTCCTCCTCCTCCTCCTCCTCCTCCCCCTCCTCCTCCTCCTCCTCCTCCTCCTCATGTGTTAGTCGATTCGGCGATCGAGGTGTCTGGACGTGTCTGGCCTCTTGCAGGACCAAACGGAAGCCCCCAACAAAAACGTCTGGCGCCCTTCGATCTTGATGTCTCCTTGTCGCCACGGCTGGATTCCTTGAAGATTCTGGTCGCGACGGACTCCTAGACAGGTCACGGATCTCATTATCGATGGGCGATGATGATCCAAGGCCGCGCTAACGGCGATGTTGGTTAACGGCGATGTTGGGAATCCGATGTTTGTGACACCGAGCTCGCGCATAACAATTTGTAGGACATCACGAACCACACTTTCCTACATTCCAGATGTGCGAATGTATCGAGCGAAAACGGCGCAGCGAATTATAGAAGACAAACACCTCGCGTTGCCGCAACTGGTTTGGCCACGAGCAACGCCTTCCTACAACTGGTTTTCCTACATCGCCATTCGCTAACACACCGTTAGCGCGTCTACGGATGATGAGGACCCCTCTGGGGGCGGCGGATCGTGGATTACGATTGGGAACGACCACAGTTGGCACAATGTCCAACGGCGACAGCTCTCCCAAAGCGGACAGCGTCCGCTGCTGGGGAGGCAATCTTGTGCATCGAGCAGCCAACGTCGTCCGCGGCGGCAACGACAGCGAGTCCTGCTCGAGATGGGCAGGAACTGCTCTTGGCCCTTGTCCACGCTCTTTCTGTACACGCTTCGGTCGCACAGCGAGCACAAAGTGATAAGAGTTCTTGCAAAGAGACAACTAAGGGTGCACGGTTTCCCCTGGGGCCATAGGCGACCCGAGGAGGAGGAGGAGGAGGACGACGACGAGGTGGAGGAGGGGGAGGAGGAGATGGAGGAGAAGGAGGAGAGGATGGAGGAGAAGGGGAGGAGGAGGAGGAGGAGGAGGAGGAGGAGGAGGAGGAGGAGGAGGAGGAGGAGGAGGAGGAGGAGGAGGAGGAGGAGGAGGAGGAGGAGGAGGGAGGAGGGAGGAGGGAGGAGGGGGGAGGGAGGAAGAGGGAGGAGGGAGGAGGGAGGAGGGAGGAGGGAGGAGGGAGGAGGGAGGAGGGAGGGAGGAGGGAGGAGGGGAGGAGGGAGGAGGGAGGAGGAGGAGGAGGAGGAGGAGGAGGAGGAGGAGGAGGAGGAGGAGGAGGAGGAGGAGGAGGAGGAGGAGGAGGAGGAGGAGGAGGAGGAGGAGGAGGAGGAGGAGGAGTACGGGTCTCCTAAGCCCTTCGGAGAAACCCTCCATCCAAGGGGCACATCCTGCGTCGCCCCTGAGCCTTGTTGGGTGCTCCAGGGCTCGGTGGCGGTGGGCCCATCGGGAAACACGACACTCTCGTCATAGGGGCACCCGCTGGCCCACGGCGAGCCCTGCTCAATATGAGCGAGCATCGCTGTCGGCCTTCGCCCCCCGCGCTCTCCGCACCCGCTTCGGCTGCACGGACACGAGGGGAGGGGGGCGGCGGTTCAATGGCGGCCCGGCGCCTTGATCACCGCGCGGAAGATCACGTGCGAGCCGCGCTCGGTGCTCTTGTTCACGTCGATGCCGCTCTCCAGCATCTCCTCGCTCCCCCGAGGCCGCTCGGGAGGAAGCGGCGGGAGCCGCTCGAAGAGGGGGAAGGAGCGGCAAGGGGGAGGGAGAGCGGCAGGGGGAGGGAGAGCGACCGGGGGCAGGAGGAGGGCGAAGAGAGAGGGGAGGGGGATGGGAGGAGGATGGGGGGGCAGCATCTGGGGAGGGGCGGGAGCTGGGGAGATCCGGGGAGGGGACTGGAGGGGAGCTGGGGAGATGGCGAGCTGGGGAGGATCAGAGGGCAGCCGTGGAGGGGGGGGGGGAGGCGGAATAGGATGGGACGGGGGGGGAGCGCGGGGAGGCAACGGCGGAGGGGAGAAGTGGAATGGCGCAGGGAATCATCCATGAGGACGCAGGGGAAGAGGAGGAGGAGGAGAAGGAGGAGGAGGAGGAGGTAGGACAGGGGGGAGGGGGGGGAAAAGGAGACACCGACAGTGATTCAGACCGGTCCATGGGTCCCCCGTAGGAAGATGCTATCTATAAGCCGACACCGATCTTGGACAAGCCAGTCCTGGACCGAGGGCAGGTGTACACGTCCTCCTGGCGGGGCCTGGAGGGCGTGTGTACAGACCGTGTGCCCAGAATTGGCCTGGCCACGACAGGCGCCTCGACAGGGGGCTGGTGTACAACTGGCTTCTCCCAATCCATCCAGTGCTGCCAGCTGCACAAGCCAAGCCCGCAGAGCGTTCATCAGCCTCGACGTCGACGAAGACGGTACAGGGTTTAAAACGGCGCCAAGGACCACGGCCACGGTGGCGACGACGGCGGCGGCGGCGATGGTTGTCGACTCCTCCATCTCCTCCTACTGGATTGCCTCCGGAACATCCTCTCATGCTTCCCCCTCCCCCTTTGCTCATGCCCATCCTTCTCCTCCTCATCTCCCCGCCATCTCTTTCATATCCTCCTCCTCCTCCTCCTCCTCCTCCTCCTCCTCCTCCTCGGCATCTCCCTCCTCCTCCTCCTCCTCCTCCTCCTCCTCCTCCTCCTCCTCCTCCTCCTCCTCCTCCTCCCCCAAAGCAGAACTCCAGCTAGTTTCCAGTTATTGCAAAAAGGAAATGGACACCGACGCGAGGCCAACAAGCACCCCTCACAGCCCACGCAAAGGCCTCCCACGGAATGACCGCTCAGCTGCCGCCCCCTTGCCGGGGACCCGCTGGCCCCATGCTCACGATCTAGACGGAGACGGCGGCAGCGCCAGTGGCGGCGGCGGCAGCGGCAGCGACGGCGACGGCGACCCGATGACGACAGCGACGACGACGACCACGGTGACGGAAACGAAGACAACGACGACGACGACAACAACAGAAGACGACGACGAAGGACGACGACTTCGACTTCGACTTCGACTTCGACGACGACGACGACGACCACGACGACGACGACGACGACGACGACGACGACGACGACGGCGACGGCGGCGGCGGCCGCAGCGGCGGCGGCGGGGCGGCGCCCGCAGCGGCGGCGCCCCGCGGCAGCGGCCGTCGCGGCGGCGGCGGGAGCCGCCTGCACGACTGCGACGTCCCCACGGGTCACCGCATCGAACAGCACCTGAAGGCACGGGGCGGGCCCGTCGGCGTCGTCGCCGCTCGGGGCGGGCTCCCGGGACGAGGCGGACCACTGGGATCACCGCGGCAGATGCAAGGGAGGTAAGGTGGTGACATGTGGTTGCCCCAGGTGGATCATACATGGTGTAAACTAATATTCAAGTGGGTTCAGCAAGTGCCCTGAGTGACTTACGACCTGGACTAAGCGGACTGCTCCCATGAGCGGAGCTATTGGTCCCACCTCAGCCAGATGGGGCACTTGTAACCCAGTATCAGTAAAGTTATGCCAGATATAATCCACCTCAACATCCACCTGTAACTAAAAGGCCTCCTAGATGGGGTCCGAGCAGATGGGATCGGAGGATTGCACCGCATCGCCGACGTATCGCTGATGCATCGGCGATGCATCGGCGACGTCAGCGATTCATCTACGAAGTCGGCGTGGAGAAATCGGGGTTCACATCGCCGATACATCGGCGATGCGGCGCGATCATCCGACCCCGTCTACTCCGACACCATCTGGGAGCCTAGAGTAATTTCCCTACCCCCTGAGAAAAAGGTACCCATACCCACCGGACCTCTCCCAGGATGCGCTGTGACAAAGAATGCCGAGGCGAATCAAACTGGGGCGACGAGGGCGTCCGAGGAAGCCCGAAAAGGCGAAAACGGGGTGAGAATAGCGGTGAGGGTACCTTTTGCTTTTCCGACCTATCCCCTAAGCAACACCAGCTTAGCTGCCCCGATACGCAGCACGCAACACGTAGCGTATTGATACTGAGCTCAACACGTAGAATGCAAACGCAGGTCTGACGCTGTGCGTTCGCCCAAAAGCGGGCCAACACGTTGAGCCAACTCGCAACGTACTGACACAGACGCTTTGAGCAGGGTACGTGTTGCGTCCCAAAACTCGGCGGCGAGCTAGGGGGGGAAATGAGAAGGAGAAGGCCTTCTCAGAAGGCGGCGGGACTTCTCGGAAGCCCTCGCGCCTTCTGAGAAGCTGTTTCTGTCTTCGGGGAAGGCCTCGAAAACTCCTCAGAAGGCCGGGGGACTTCCGAACCCTCTGAGAGGGCCTTCTCCTTCTCGTTTCCCCCCCTCGCTCGCCGCCGAAGAACGAGCTTATTGATGCAACTAAGCCTCCGACCTGTCCCCTAAGCAACCCAAGCGGTCATCCCAGCAGGCGCGCGCGCCTTCCGGGGCAGAGCAGGCGCGCCTCGGTGCGCCGAATCAGGGCCCGGCGGCTCCCGAAGGGGCTCGGCAGGGGACGGGGGGGTGGCGGGGGCGGCCAGACCCCCTCGCGCGCTGGAAACATCACGATCTCCTCCTCCTCCTCCTCCTCCTCCTCCTCCTCTCCTCCTCCTCCTCCTCCTCTCCCTCCTCCTTTTCTCCTCCTCTTTCTCCTCCTCCTCCTCCTTTTCCTCCTCCTCCTCCTCCTCCTCCTCTCCTCTCTCCTCCTCTCTCCTCCTCCTCCTCCCCCCCCCCCCTCCTCCTCCCGCTCCTCCTCCTCCTCCTCCCCCTCCTCCTCCTCCTCCTCCTCCTCCTCCTCCTCCTCCTCCTCCTCCTGATTTGCCCCGATACGCAATACGCACCACGTAGCGTGTTGACATGGATCTCAACGCGTAGACGGAAAACGTAGGTATGACGCGATACGTCCGCCAAAACGTGGGCCAATACGGTGAGCCAACACGCAACATATTGACCCGGAAGTTTTCAATACGGTGCATGTTGCGTTTCGAAACGGGCGTATCGAGGCAGGTCAGATCACTACGGACGGTGTTCTTGCCATCGCTCGGACGTCCTTTTCTCCGTGCATTGTTCGACTTCGCGCGCTTCTTTGTCGCAAGAGGATCCAGGATGTTCCTCGATGCTCCTCGCCGAGAAAGATGCACACGTCCGAGCGATACCAGGTTCTAGCCTGTTCTGAACATCTGGCTGGCATGCCCGACATGGATGCAGAAAAAACCAATGTGCACTGCCCCTCAGCCAACATGGTCCAACTCCGACAGTGGCCGCTGTTCAGCAGGTGAACATTTTCTCATTCGCAATCGGCGTTTTTACATTGGGCGGAGAGGTTTGGGGGGGAGGGGGGCTCTGGCTTCGGACCTCTGCTGAACGCGACTGTTTACAACAGCGCGTCCCATGGGGGAGGGACTCCACCTGCTTGAAACAGGCGCCCAAACCAGCCAAAATCTACTCCATGGGGGGGCGGGAGGGTGCGAGGGCCCTCGCCGATCGGCAAAACAGCGAACGAGTAAACGATCACAAGGCGACGTGTTGTCTCAAGTGGACACCGCCCGCGGCGACGCCGACAACGATCCCGGATCAAAACGGTCAGAAAAATGCGGTCGGTCGCTTCGCCCCTCCTCCTTCCGGAGAGCCCAAATCCCGTATTACTCGAGCCCCGCCCCCCCTAAAAAACGGACCCCCCACCAAATGCGACCTAATATTCCGGACCCCCCTCTTCGACGGGGCGCCTTACTAAACCGGACCCCTTAAGCTCCGACCCAAAGAAAACGCCCTGATAAACTGGACCCCCCCAGCTACGAAAAAGGAGCCTTAAAAAACTGGAACCGGGGGACGATTAAGAAGGGATTTGGAGTAGATGGGGTCGGAGGCCCCCCCAGATGGGCCTTCCAGGTGGGGTCCGCGTACCCTGACCTTACAGGAGGGCTAAAAAATAGCATCAGGACCTCGACATCTTATTTCCTGTCGAGGTTTTAGGCAGTCCAGATAGGTCTATGGGTCTGGAGGGCAATTTTCTGGCACTCTGGAAAGTCAGGGTAGATGGGGTCGCTGATCGTGCCGCATCGCGGACGCATGGCCGATGCGTCGGCGATGCACCAGCGACGTCGTCGACGCGTCGGCGACGTCGGCGCGCAGAAGAAAACATAGGGCTCCGTACATCCAGCCGCAGCGCCGCTGCCGTGGCGATGAAGGGCGCGAGCCTCCGACCCCATCTGCTCCGACACCGGCCTGGGAAGCCCGAAGACAGGACGAGGAGGAGGAGGAGGAGGAGGAGGAGGAGGAGGAGGGGGAGGAGGGAGAGGAGGAGGAGGCGGAGGGAGAGGAGGAGGAGGAGGAGGAGGAGGAGGAGGAGGAGGAGGAGGAGGAGGAGGAGGAGGAGCAGGAGAGGAGGAGGAGGAGGGAGAGGAGGAGGAGGAGGAGGAGATGCGGAGGAGGAGGAGGAGGAGGAGGAGGAGGAAGAGGAGGAGGAGGAGGAGGAGGAGGAGGAGAACGACCCTGACCCCCGACGTCATATTTTTGTTGCATCACGCGACCCCCAAGAAGGTCCGGAACCATTCCCTGGGACCGGTTTTTCATCCCGAGTCGATTTTTGAAGGTCCCGAGGCCCAGTGAGGGCCCCCATGCCGAAAATCATGAAAAGCCTTCCGTCGTGTTTTTGTTCGCAGACCGAGGGGGTCTGGGGAGAACGCCATCTGCTCGGACCCCACCTGGGAAACCCAGAGAAACACAGCTCGGGAGGAGAAGCCTGGGGCCTGGGGGAAGCGGTCGCCAGACGTCAGAGGGCCCACGCCGCGCGCAAGACAAAGCTCGGCGCGCCTGGCGTCCAGGGGTGGGGGAAGGCGACTACCTACCAAACCACCCCGACCCAACCCGAACACACTGTTGGGCTCGTCAGTCGCCGGTGGGATGGCACTCCAGAGCACTGAGGACACACGATGGAACCCGCAGTAGA